GGATAGGACACACATTGAGGAAAGCACCCAACTGCGTCACAAGACAAGCCCTCACATGGAATCTTCAAGGCCAAAGGAGGAGAGGAAGACCAAAGAACACATTACGCCGGGAAATGGAAATAGGCATGAGAAAAATGAACAAGAATTGGATGGAACTAGAAAAGAAGGCCCAGGACAGAGTGGGTTGGAGAATGCTGGTCAGCGGCCTATGCTCCATTGGGAGTAACAGGCGTAAGTAAAGTAAGTAAGTAAGCAAGATCTTATAGATTAGGTTTTCACGTCATAACATATCTACAATTTTGGGGTTTGGTGTGCCGTTGTGGTAGTGATAATATTGAAATAGACCGCAGTTCTACACACCCACGTACGCAGTTCTTCACAATAATGACTTCAACAAGTAAGTTATTCATAGAGTATTTGCTAGTTATGTTTCTAAACTCTATAACTGTTACGTCCTACAACCAACAAACACGAATAGACAACCATAACCAACCAATAAGCAGTGAGGATTTGAAAGACTAATACGTTTTGCGTGACAGTTGGCAAAACATTAAGCAGCCACAAACAAGAAAGAAGAATGCAAGACCAACGTTTACTAGTTTATTACCATTATTGTATTTTAGACAATCATTTACACACATACAAGACCAGACCACACATCAGGTCATTTGGGTAACAGTTTTAACGTGGAAGAACATGATTAGTGATGAGAAAACAGAAAACTGGGTACGTGAACAATTAGTTCTAGTTTATGAGTGGAAAATACTGTAGTAAGAAGTTACGGTTTAATAAAAGCTTAGAACTATGTCAATAGGAAAATAATAAGACCAAAATACTTAATGAACATGTAATCAACATGTATAAATAAAATTGTAGAAAAATAGACTCCAAGGATTTTGCCCTATAGATGAATCGTTTCCTACAGCACTTCCCTTTTTTTAAAAAACCATTAATAGGCCTGTCATTAGGGTTCATTTTGATCCTAGTTCATTTTCTCCTGATCTGTCGGGATATTTTTAAGAAGGGCTTCATATTTTTCAGCGGTGTTTTAGTTTCTTTTCTGAAAGTTACTCCTGTCCAAAAAAGCGCGTCAATCGTCCCAGAACTTAGTACCGCACAGTATGCAAGCAAGAAAATTGGTACTAATTCCTCTAATTTTCCCTTTCCTTGGGCTTTTCTCAATATTCTCTTGAAATTGGCGATTAACCCTTCAGCCTGCCTATTTGGCCGCGGGTAGTATGAAGAATTCTTGGCACGTTTAATGCCGTTCAGAGTGCAGAAACGATGAAGTCCTAATGATAGAAACTACGGACCATTTCTGGAGACTATCACTTACGGAAACTCGAGACGATCAAATATTTGAAGTACTTTATCCAATGTCATGATGGTTGATGTACTATCGGTTATATAAGAAGGGTGTCAATGGTGATTAACAAATATTTCCTTTCAACGAGCCTGGCAAAATCTGCATGCTTTCTCGAGCACGAGTGTGTAGTGACCTACTTTTTATCAAAAGAACGTGATTGGTTTAATGGAAACAATCATTATTATAACCCATTGTACCAGTGATTACTTTACTGTTCTCGTTTGTTCAACTGTACTAAAGACATCCATTACTCCTCGATTATTCTTCCGTTGACTGTGACCTTGTACGCTCGCACGTTCTCCCATTGATTCCACTTGTATTTCCTTTGGCACGATCTTGGCATACTTTTGATAACACGAGATCGCCAACGAATAAATCTCGTTACAATCTCCTTCCGCCTTCTGATTTTCCGGTGCGCGCTCGTCTTGTAGTGGTGATCACAGTCAACCTCGACTCGACACCACACTACAAGTGTGTCCTGTTTTACCAGCGGCAAAGTTCAGTCGTCCGAGAGGCTTTCGAAGCTTGGGCTTATTTGGAGCACCTTACCACAGAAGCTTCGACTTCTCCATCAATGTTTAACCAATATGCATAACTCCTAGCCAATGCTTTTTTCAAACGATACGTGGATGCGTAGAGTGAAACTGTGTCAGAACTTGACGATGTGCTTTACTAGCATTTAACAGTGAGAGCCAACAAATTAGAGACGACAAATGATGCTTGAAGGATCGCAGACTGTTATAGTTGCACACTTAATATCACTTTCTGACACGGGTGTTGTTTGTATTGTAGTTTGTAGTATCTGAATAATATCTTCTTCCAGAGATACGGTGGTCAATGACAGTGTCTTCGTTTCCAGACTTGTATTTTATTTTCAAATCATAAGTGAGTAAAATGACCATCAAACGTTGCGGACGATTAGCAGTATACGCCAGTATACCGGACTTCGACGCACAAATAGAAAGAAGGGATTTGTGGTCTGTGAACGTTGCAAATAGACGCCAATAAATCATTCTATGAAATTCCTTGATCGTGAAAAGCAAAGCTAGCCCATCCTTTCCTATTTGACTATACTTTCGTTCTGTCGCATAATTCATAGATTTTTCCTTACCATCTGGAATACGATAGCTAGTAAAAACACCAACACCATAATTAGAAGCATTACCATCAATGATAATTTCCCATTTAGGGTTATAATGAGTCAACAGTAATGTAGAGGGTAAGATTTTCTTGATTTCATCAAACGTATCACAATACCTACGGTAAGTTCCCCAGGTTTTCCATCAATCCCTGCATTTTTTCCAGCCTCAAATCTCCTGTTACGATTATTTTTCCAGGGAACTCCCTCGCTGGAGCGCGTTACTTGCAATCGCATTCGAGTAAATATAACCGTCAGCTATATATCACAAACATAATGTGCTATCTCGACTGATTGGTTGGTCGACACGGATGGATTGATCGAAGACGAATGGAATAAGTTAAGGCTACATTCGAGTCCGTAACGTCGCCGTTTATCCCATGGTCAGCACGTAAGCTATCACATTGCCCTCCATGGATTAATAAGGAAACCCGGAAGCTCTTAAAGCGTAGGAAACATTTCTGGGACTTATTCTTGTTGACAGGTCATGAACCACTTAAGCGTGTGTACCGAAAATTCCGTAATATGTGTGAGAAAACCATAGCCAAATCCCGTACCACTTACGAACGACAGTTAGTATATGATAGCCATAATTGTCCGAAAAGAGATTGTTTTCGTATGTTAAACGGTGAATCAAACGTAGTGATAGTATTCCTTCGTTACTGTTACACGAAAATTCAGGTTTACTAGCTCAATCAGATCGAGCAAAAGCTGAGACTTTTTCGAACTATTTTAGCGAAGTCTACTCTACGTCTTTTGTAACAAATACTTGTCCCACTCACACCGAGATACCGACCATTGAATCTGTACTGGTGACTGAGGAAACTGTCCTTACGTTGATAACTAACATCAAACCTGGTAAGATACCGGGCCCTGACGGGTTACATCCACGGTTGTTGTCATCTCTTGAGGACATTATTTAAAAACCGCTCGCTACACTTTTTAACATGTCCCTTTCACTCGCTCAACTCCCTAGAGATTGGAAAGACGCTATAGTCAGTCCTATATTCAAGGACTGTCAGAGCATATAGTATCTAACTACCGGCCTGTTAGTTACTTGAAAAGATAATTCGGGTTAGGTTGCTAAGCCACATAGATTCACACAGTCTGTTAGCTCCTCAGCAACACGGTTTTGTAAAAGCGTTCATGCTTGACTAACTTAATGCGAGAGAGGATTGGACAGCAGCCTTAGATAAAGGCCTGTCTGTCGGTGTGATATTCATAGATTTTAGCAAAGTATCTGACAAGGTTTCACACGTAGCTCTTATGTAGAAGCTCACGAGATTCGGAATATGTACTATACAGGAGCGGATGGGAAACTTCTTAGGGGACCGCAGACAGTGAGTGAGGGTCAAAGGAGCGCTATCCGATTGGAAGTCAGTCAAAAGTGGTGTACACAAAGGCACCATCTTAGACCCTCTGATCTTCCTTCTCTACGTTAATGAGTTACCGCTGTTGCTTAGGTCGTCGATATTATTGTTTGCGGATGATGTAAAAATCTGGAGAACAATAAAAATTGAGGCTGATCATCTGGATCTTCAAGCTAACTTAGACGATTTAGTTAGATGGGCTTGAGAATGGGGCTTAGAAATCAATGCTAGGGAGAGTGTGCCAATGCACGTTGGTCACGGTGATAGTTACCGTTATACTATTGAGGGTAAACCTCTTCCATGTGCTCAAGAACATGAAGACTTAGGAATAGTAATAAGTCATGATTTAAAAACAAATACGCATTACAAAGCAGCTGCTGTCAAAGGTCTTCGTGCGTTATGATCACTTCGCCAAGCGTTCAAATCTTTTGACGAGGAAACGTTTCGAATTTTATACCCCATATGTGTAAGACCACATTAAGAGTACTGTATCCAAGCACCTAGCCCGTGTCTGGTAAAGGATACTAACTCCCTTGAGCGTGTACAGCGTGGAGGAACAAAATTAGTGAAGGGTCCTTCTAGACTCCCTTACGATGAGTGTTTAAAACGCTTAAATCTTTTCCCCTTGTCGTATCGTAGGACACGAGGTGAACTTATACTGGCATTTCGTATGTTTAATTATGATTTGGGTGTTAATGTCTTATCTTTTTGCTCTCTCTAGCACTAGTAATCTCCGAGGTCAAAGCAAGAAGGCTCATAAACCACGATCTAATAAACTTAAAGTGGGGTCCCGTTTTTCTCATCGAGTAGTCAATGATTGGGACGCCTTACCCAAACAAGTGGTATCAGCTCCATCAGTGATTACTTTCAAGGAGAAGCTGGACCTTCACTGGAAAGCAATGTGTCAGGATTAATACAGGTTCACCAACCTACTATCCTTATTACTGAAGACTGAAGACTAACGTGTTGACAAGCACTGTGTCTTGATAAATCACCATGCTTTCACCTTCCATGATCTATTCCTAGTAAGAGCATTATCTTGTATACCAATGAACTACACCCGGAGAATGCCAAATAAATTGAGACAGACTAAATACAAATTATGACGTTAGATCAGACGGTTGTTTGAGTAGACTGCGCGACTTGTTTCGGTTTCGGTTTCTCCCCGGGTTAGTTAGAGACTATCGAAGTCAGTGTGTTCTTACTGGTTAGTAACTTCATTTTTCTTCGTTTAGTGACCTGATGGGAGTTTTAAATTTGTGCTAAGAACACTTTTTTCATAAAGAGGGGTTAGGGACATGTTGATTGTAGGGAGTCAACATAATAACAAATGTAGTAAACCCTAGTAGAAAGCACTTATGGACCACTTTATTCTGCATCTAGGATTCAGTTCTCTAGTTAAACGGAATTTATTATAGCTGCATATGAACTTTCGTTTCAAAGTCTCTTAGAATCTTGTTGAAACAAGTTCTGTTTTTGGTACATAGGACGAACAATCAGGTAGTAGACTAAGGCAACGTTTATTTGTTTCATCTTTATGACTGGTATGGTTAGTTGGTATTGCTGGTTTTGAGGCAAACCTCAAATGACTCCTATTTTTCTTCCACTGGTCATGTAATATTTCAGACTTTGTGTTGTGCAAAGCTTGTATGTGTATGGTTGGTGGAAATTAACGGACGAAATGTTTTCGCGTGTTGTGTAATTCAGGCTTAGTGTTGTTAGTTAACATTGTAGAGGTCACTGTTAGTAAATCTTGTCGTCTGGTATCCTTTTGAAATCCCTAATGAGCAACATAATATGTACTTCGAAGCAGTTTTTAGTATGATAAAATAATAGTTTTCAATAAATAGCTAGCGGCTATCGTACTTCCTAAGTAAATACTTTCTTGGGGATGTAGTTTTCATTTTCTGTCGACTATACGGCGCTAACACTATGTTGGTAGTCACTCCGTCCGTTTAATGCCCATGTAGTAAAAATAAATCTACTCAAATTAATCGTTAAGTGCAACCATGTGAACAGCGTCACTGCAGGGACGATGTGTAAAACGATTTTATGGTTGGAGCTCGTCCATTTGATTAATGGCTTGAGCATTTTTCTGTCCTCTCTTTAAGCGACTTAGGGAGTTTTATCATTTGTAGGGGTTACATATAAGCAGAGTTTGGACAATCTTCACTAAAATATGTTTTGCTGAAATTTAGGCGTAAACTGATTAAATCCACATCACACTTGAGTACATCCAGAAAAGCTAACAAATGAAACGGTAGAACGTAGTGATGTTGAAATTAGGAAGTAGAGGATACCCTAGTTAATATTATGAATCGGTTCAAGAACTCAGTTCATCAGGGGTTGGGTATAATTGTGAACAAATGCTTTCTGGATAAAAAGTAACGTCATCTACCAGAAGTTGGCAAACAATTAGATTCAGCTAGTGACCATTTGACCCAATTGAATGATCGTCCGAACCAGTTACTCGTTTTAGATTAAATTTAAAGTTTATTTAAATAAGTGTATATAAAACGTAAGACTTTCAAGCCGTGTTTCCATTTCTTGCAACTAATTTTGTTTCTTGGGAAAACTTATATAGAAAACATCAATGGCTCAGTGGGGCTCATACGGTTCTTACTGGCAAGGTGCTTGTCCAGGATATTATGATTATACACAACCTGCTCAGGTAAGTTATTTCACTACCCATTCACCACTGTAGACATATGATTATAATCATCAAACCATTCCAGTTTCATCAGTTCAAGAAAAACCTTCCACACCTCCCCCACCCGGAGTAGAATCTACTGCCCCCAAGATGGATGGGACTGTTACAATGACAAGCTCCATTTCAGCAACTTATGACACATCGTGGTGTACTTCGACTCCATTTCATTCTCAAAACTTCTCTTGTGCTTATAATTATTCACCTGCGCTCCCACCCCGTCAACCGGTCATGTTCGACCCAAGTCCACAGAGGCCTATGATGCCAAACGTTTCGTATCCTTCATATGGTTCTCCACAGTTCCCGTTGCATATGCGAAGTCAGTTAGGGTGTAACTGGAACGCAGCTAGACCTACTTATGGTTATCCAGTTAATGGAGGTGCGGTTCAGTCGTTCGGTATGTGGCCTGACGGAAGACCATCTGTTCATTCCAATGGTTTGGCAGTGACGGGTCCACGGTTTCCATTCCAGAGTACTTTAGGTAAGAAATACGTATTTATGTACGGTTCAAACATTACTGTATACTTGATTTATTGTATCTCGGGGTAGACTGATTTTTGTTAAGTTATCGAGTTCTTAACCCTCAGATTAAAATGGTTCAGTGGTCAAAACTCTCATCCTTCAACCATCAAGTTACAATTTAATGCTCCCCCACCTACTTCGGTATGCTAACTCTCGTGATGCCAATTTTTCTCATCTAAGCACACAATTATCTGCTTAATCTCGGATTCACGTTACTGTTATTGTTCATGGGTTAGAATTTAATATTAACTCAATCTACCTCGGTCTAAGCAGCTAGGAGGCTCCAGACTAATGGAGGTAAACCACATCAATATATTGGCCATTGGGTGGTTACTGGGATGTACTATTTTGTCACAATTGATTGATCACTGGGTGGTGATCAATGTCATGTGTGTCAAGTTCTTATTTAGTGCAGATCGAATGCTATCGACCAAGTTGCAATGTGGCCACCAGTCTAATCGACTCGACACTGCGGGCACTGTGTTGAGATTAGATGGTGGTTGGAGGTAATCAACAGGAAACCCTAGACCCGGGTTTCGTGCTACTTGGCACTCGTCAGCAAGATGTACCTGTAATCTTGAGGGAACTGGTGCTCCCTGGCCGATTCGATCCCGTGTCACCCAGCTTCACAGTCAAAGACGTTACCACTGAGCTGGTGGCCACGTTGCAAAATGGTCGATAGCATTCCATCTGCACTGCATAAGGACTTGACACACACGACATTAATCATCACCCAGTGATCAATCAATTGTGATTACATCTCAGTCCTACAGGAGGTTAGCCACGGCTCGGATAGCTCAGTGGTAACGTCTCTGACTGTGAAGCTGGGTGACACGGGATCAAATCGGCCAGGGAGCACCATTTCCCTCAAGATTACAGGTACACGTTGCTGACGAGTGCCAAGTAGCACGAAACCCGGGTCCAGGGTTTCCTGTTGACTACCTCCAACCACCATCTGTACTACTTTGTGTTTAAGGTTTCGTCCTGGTAGTCATTGCGAATGTCCACTTCAGGATGACGGTTTCTTTTAGGTAAATATACTGGTCAATTACCTTCAGAAACAGGTATACATACCTGATGTATATTTAGGACAGTAAATCTACTATACAAAGATTACATTATAGGTTCGGATTTTGTGTTCAAAAACGTTGATATAATTATCTATAGTCGGGGAGTCAGTCAGATATAATCGAAACGGAGCCCAAGTTGTCACACAATATGAGAACGACAATCGAAAAATAAATGAGAGGATTTCAATAATGGCGATATTAGTTATGATTAGGAAGAGTAAACATAGAGAATATCTCGAAGAGGAATCGGAAACTAAACATCAAAACTCAAGATCCAGAGGAAGATGCGCTTGCTTCACTTCTACGCACTCTGCCTCATGCAGCCCAACGTTTTGGGCTGGCCTCAGTCTTGCAGCGTGCACCTATACCAACCAGCATTACTCGACGAGGTGGGGGATTGTTGATCCCACTTAGCTCTTTCTGTCCAATCGATTAGTATTCACAGCCATAATCGATACACGATCCTTCCCCAGTACTCTACACTTAATTTCAGGATTATTTACTTGCTAAAAAATCGACTCTCAGTTTTTGAGTGGTCCATATTGATCAATCTGTTTTTGCGAAAAGTTGTACCGTACTGCATGAACACATTTATAACTCATAGGATCCGACTTTCTCCAACATAACTTTCATCGTTATAAGTAAGAGTTGGGTGCGTGTTCCTTTTTATAAAGTTCGATGTATAGAGCTCCTAAAAGCATATTAATGACCAAATATGATTGGTTTTGTATGTAGTATTTTACGTGGTGACTATTGAGACTAACTTTAATTATCTAGATTCTCCAAACACAGTGGCTATTGAAAATACTGCGAATACCCCAATTTCTAAAGAAGTGTTACAGCAACCACCTGCTAGTTTTCAGGACAAAGGAGCAAAAGAGCAGTGGAGCGATGAACTCAAGTAAGTTTACGGTTAGGAAGTTTTAATAACGCCAGTAATTGGCCTTTCCGTGGTATAATTGGTTGTTCGGCATCAGTTTCTCAATTTACCGTGAGATATTTCTTAGATAAGTTTATTAACATTTTATTTTTCTGAATAAGTGCTTGATGGGTGTTTTCACCCAGAGATAGAGTTTCAGTAGATATGTAATATTCCGGATGAGTAAGCATGCCTCATCAGATAGACAGGAAAACAAGTGCGCGGGACGCTCATTCATACTTTGTTGTTCTAAGCTATTCAGCAGCTCACCAAGAAAATGAGTGCAAGACAGCCAGTGATAAGTTGATGTATTTAGTTTCCGGATTACTTGGGTTATGTTGGATGTCCCGTTTTATTGGGTAGTGAATAAAATTACTGTCCTTTTCTATTATTTTTGGTATTGTATTGAAAGGTTTACATTTCTGTGTTTTTTCACTTATTGGTTTATTAATTCCAAATTTTTTTATAGAGAGTACGTCCAGCGAGCTTTCTGCAGCATTGATACAAGTGAGGAAAAAGATCAAATGGAACGGATTTTAAAAGAAAAATTGGAGTACGTTTTTAGAAATAACATCAAGGTCGACTGGAAGACAGAAAATATCCCAACTATCCCTAGTCGTGCGATTGCTAGTTTCCGTAAATCCTTTAATATCAGGGGTAATTCTGTCAAGTAAGCAGTACTTTAGTGTTTTTTTCTGTCATTGGTATTACCGTGCATTTCTTCAAAATCGGTTAAGGTAAAGAAATCGAGGTCGGCCTGTAGTTCACCAGTTATATTGTACTTTCTGGAAAGTAGATATCTGGCTTGATCATTGTATTAAATGTCTATTTATTCATAAGATTTCCTGTGACAGGGTTTATTATCACATTGTCGGTCAATATATTCCTTCCTAAATAAATGTGAATGTTACTTTGATAAAAACGTTCCACAGTTACCATAGGTCTTGATGAGTGCACTACCTCTAGATGTAACTAATTTATCGGTTTTCCATCAATTGCATTGATGGCTTACATCGTGTCAATGTTGCCATTGACATGACTGTTATTTGCGTGCTTCCATTTGGCCAATCTCTGGGTAGTAAACGCATAATTGGAGGAATAGAATTCAAAGTCTTATCTCTAAATGTTTGTAAGTTTGAAATTGCACATGATACTGAAGCGAAAGACAATTAATTGTTTTCTTACAGTTTGTTAACTGAAAGTATTGCTACTTTGACACTACACTATGTTGTTCATTGAAGTGTTAGCCATCTGTAATATTTATTTAAAGTGATTGTAAGGCCAACTTACGGTGGAGTCTTACTATATTTGGATCCAGTAACGATCGTTCATTCCATAAATCGTGGTATTTTTTGTGTCAGAAGGTAAAGATATAATGATTCTGGTTCAGTTGTAGTGTTGTTAGGAATTCCTGTGCATGCGTCTAGGTACTAATTTCGACTTGTTAGTTTCTATGATCATTTTGCGATAGTTGATCTAAGTCCTTTAAATTTTACTGTACAATTTAGGTTTTAAATTGTCTTTTACTAATATTTATGAGGTTGTCTATTTTGTTTTACTTATTTTAGTGGGACTTAATAAATAAATGATAAATAAACCGAAAGTACTAGTAACACATTTCAGTAATGCTTTAATTTTCCCTAAATATCTACTCACCTATTAGTGACTGTTTTTAACCCCCTCTTTAAGTTGTAACTCAGTCAGTAAATAACCTAACTGTGACTAATTAGATATTTACATTTTTGAATGAAATCGTTTAGTGTCGTGCGACCTGTTCAACTTCCCAGTCCTCGTGGACTTCGCCCAACGGGTCCATCAAGGGGAGCTCCTGCACGTCTTCCTGTTGGGCTTTTGTCGAGAGGTGGCCGCAATGTGTTTTCGTCTTCAGTTGTTAAGAGTATATCACCATCCAAAAAGTTGCCATCGAAATCTCGCTCACCTAGTCGTTCTCCTGTTTCCAAACCTCTAAAAGATTGGCAGAGAAAGCGTTTATATAGATCCAGGTCTAGTTCATCTTCAAAATCACGTGGCTCCCCTCATTCTTCATCCTCAAGTAGTTTCAGGACAAAACGCCATCGGCGTCGGGATTCTCGGTCGCGCTCTGGTTCTCGGCATGCACAGAGAAAAACGAATGATGTAAAGGATTCTCAGAAAAGGTGTGCCAGTGATTTCCATATTTTGGTTTTACTGTATGCATTTTGTTCACACCAATGTATCTAATGGGTTCTAAACCATTTTTTGAGAAAGTTGCTGTGAGCAAACAAATCAGCTTACATTTGTGTGGTGATACTGTTCACTACGTCTAAACATAAAAATATTCATGTAAAGGGAAAAGTAAGAATAAGTTCCATAAATTGTCACCTGCATTGAGTTCAGACTCCAGTGGAAACTGAATTCTAGCATATTTTCAGTGTTATAAATGTTCTTGATAGTCCACTGGTTAGTCGAGACTGGTACTTTCTCATAGCCTTCTTTGGTGTTTGTTCTCGTTAGCCTTGGATAGTTGATCCAATGAGTGGTAATCGAGTATATTATTTATTTCGAAATGTTGAGTTGCGACCTATTTAAAGGCTTGAGTTGAGAAAATGTTCAACTTGGACCAGTCAGGAAGACTTTGCAGACTATAAAACGTATTTTACTCCATTCTTGTCATGTACGTCCAAGTTGATATAGGTTATTAAATTGTTAATAGGTTTATGTGAATGTAAAACTATGTTTTAAAAAATGTTAGGATTAAATATTTCAAACAGAAGAACGTGTGGGTAGTTCTAAATGGTTGTAAGGCACTTTGATATTATTATTCTCATTTTGCCTAAAGATTCAAACATCTGCGTTCCCCTAAAACCTTATTAAAGTTATTTACAAGTCCATGCATTCTGTATATCTTAATTCCATCTTCGAAAGTATCTAGCTCTGACATTCTTATTAAATATTTCTGGTAGTTAGAAATTGTGTATTTAATCTCAATAGATGACATCTATGAAATTTTGACTGTTAATATAAGGCCTATAGAGAATTATAGAATCTACAAGAGAAAACTAGTGATTTTAGACTATTCAAAACAATGAATGTGTCTATTTTCCTCTCCACTTTAAATGCAATTAACAGTTTTCCACATCCTTTCACATTTTACATCGTGCTCCTTTTAAGTTCACTTGAACATAAGCAGGTGTTTCAATATAACTTAATAAGTACTGAAGCCCTTGGATTTTCTAGGAGTTTTTAATCAGCTTTCAGATCCGTTTAATATGTGGAATCATTTATTTATCGTTAGTTGTATTTAGAACGTATAGGCAATCGAATTTCACTTGGAAGCAGTCACCGACGTGGTATTCTTTTTCTCTTCTGTCAAATTCTAATAAAAACAATCATGTTTGTTGGGGTTTCCGGCTGGCCTTCGGTAAATTCTATTTACGATGATTCTAATAAGACGCAACGAATAGGTAATTTGATAAATGGAATGCCCGTCACACAACGCTTCAAAGTTAGTAGTTCACATGCTAATAAAGAATACAGGACATTCAGGTTGACTTGATGTTCCATACAGAAGTCAGAAATTAACAAGGAACAACTTTATGTAGTAATATGAAATGAACTTGGAGTGCAATTAAGTTACCGAACTGACACATTTAGATGAGATGAATAAGCGACTTATTACCAGGTCGTATGAAGTATAAATCAAAGTTGTCAGACTTGACTATAGCTTTCATTTTGCAATATGTCGCCTCTATTGCTTGCAACCTTATGGTCAGGAATTAGGATATAACATCAACCATTTTTTTTAAGCATATCAACTGTAAAAAGTTTAGCTTGCACCGTCAGTATCAAACGGTCGAAGTTTTCTTTTCTACTTAAACCGATCTAGTGCTTTGATATGCTTTGTACTAATCCCTTCAAAATATTTATTAAGATCTCATACTAGTCATTGCATATTCCTCTTATCTATGTTCGCTATTTTATGGTAGCCTTCATAAATGTTCACTCTCATCTTTTAGTACACCGCAATTAACCACCAGGGGTAATTCCAAAGGTAGACGGCGGAGACGCGGTGGTGCTTCGAACGCCGACACAAGTACGGACGCAAATACCTCTAATGAAGATGGGACAGCTGTAAGGGGTCGTGGACGTGGCAGCTGGCGTGGTAAACGTGGAAATATTTCAAAGCATACTCCTCCAAGTGAATCTCGCCTTACACAACGAGCCAGTAGATTTAAAGATCATCTAGTGCAGTCACCTATTGGATCAGGTTCCATTGGACGAACCACCAGTCAGTTGCTTTCGAATTACACTGACGAACGTGATGATCTAGCTGTTGATTTTGGTAGCTGTCAAATCATTGGTACCATGCAAGAAATAGAAAAACAATACTTAAGACTGACTCGAGTAAGTTTTGTCAGTACCATCGACTGTGTTAAGTATATTCCGTAGTGCTTTTTCAGTTACCCTTTAGTTATAAACTTTATCTTTTACCAGTTATCTGTAAAAAAATATATAATTTTCTGTAATTATGGTGTATCATAATTTCCTGTGTATGCGTCAACGAACTAGTTGCTCATTTTTATATGTACTTGTTAGCAGAATACTCACTGAGGTCCCTATTCATGTACATTTATGTTTGTAGCTCAAGGGTATAATTGTTGTGGTGCATTATGTGCACTGGATGGTTTGGTCATAAAGCTTTCAATGTTTTCATAAACAACAACACAAACTTCAAACCGGTGTTGTACACTATCCCGCACATTTTATCCGTTCCACATAATTTTCATTAAGTTATATTTATGTATAAGGTTGATTACGAATTTTTGACAGAAACTTAGGTGCTCTCGAGGTACCGTTATAATATTATTAAATAGATAGTAACCATTATCACATTTGTCCAATCAGGTTTCGATGTTGTCGTTAACCTAAGTGACTCGGCATCACATGCTCTATATTTTGAGTTGAGGTGGTTTAAAGTAGCAGAAAACTTTGCACTCACGTTTCTAGCCAGTTGAGACTCGTCAACAAAGAATACCTACAGTCTTAAAAAAACTGATGTAGTGTCTAACTCGACTCACTGAGTTCCACAGTTTGTTACTATTGAACCGCTTCAATCACGAATCACCTCTAGGAAGTCTTCATCACGAAAATTTGTTTGGTAATGGATTATGTATACGCGACTGAGTCCTAGGTGCTATTAGCTTTATTTATTGCTATCAACTGTAATAAGTCACTTGTGTAACCAGGGGTTAAGTAGAGGTTGCTTGCTTCAGTTTATGTCAACTCTCAACATATGCGTATGCACACTTGAGTGAGCAACTGACTTACCGTATTTGTAGTCATTGATTCTTCCGGTAAATCAATTTTATAGTAATTCACTGGTTGTAAGATGACTTTCTCCATTACTTTCAGGCCCCAGATCCTACAGAAGTGCGACCCCTAGCAATTTTGAAGCTTTCTTTGGAGCACGTCAAAGAAAAGTGGCGTTCAAATACCGATTATCACTGGGTGTGTGAGCAGTTTAAAAGTATACGTCAAGACTTAACTGTAAGTCGTACTGTTGTTACATTGCGTTTATTGTTATCATATTAAAGGGACTGAAGTCCAAAGTAATTGGAAGTAACTACTATATTTCTAATTTATCGCAAAAACTAAGACATGTCCGCTCTCATCCAGTCTTCTGATATCTATCTGATTGAGGTGACTCAGTTTGCCTCTGGCATCCATTTATCCCTACACGATGCTTTGGATAACACACAGTACATAAATAATTTATTTATTGGATACAGTCGGTGTTATAATGCATGACTTTCTGAACAACATTGTGTGCATATGAGAGAAAGTTCCTTGTGTTTTTGCACGCATTCGATGTTAGATGATTCCTAAGAACCTGTATGTTTTAGTATCTTAAGCTTATGCTATAAGCAAATAAACCAACAACTTCGTTTATCTGAATAGTTAATTTAATAAACAAATTTTACGATAACATGAGGGTGAATGAGATTTTGTTTCTTCATCATTGTCAGTTGGTTCGTTTGAAACTTGACAGATTATTACCATTTATGTGCTCTAGATTTATCCATCTATTTTCTTGATCATAGTTAAAAATAGCTAACTCACTGAATTTTATGACGAGATTGATTATCACTTCTTATTTTTTCATCAATGTCTTTAAATATAAGCTATTGAACATATTGAGAGGGAAGATTAGGTTGTACCCAAGTTTTCATATTACATTTATCCATGTCGCCTAATGTTTTTAGTCATTTATTGGATGTATTGCTGTACGTTATTACTATACAAAAAATATCTAGATTTCATTCTTTATTATGTGACTCATGAAGTACAGGTTCATGTAGTTGTTTTCCAACCACACTTTATTCATGTGAGTTAGCGACAATACTCAGCTTCCTAAACGAAACTCAGAGTGATGATGTTAAAATCTGTGACCTAATGTTGATAGATAAGTGTTTTTACAATTAAAGACTCCGCTTCGTCGTTACTGTCTTTTACGTAGGAAACGTGTTTTATGTAGTGTTTTTTAATGAATTTCCAACATATTGTTAAATCATTTTAGGTACAAGGTATCGAAGATGATTTTGCAGTATCAGTTTATGAAGCACATGCAGATGTAGCCTTAGAAGCTGGGGATTTTGAAGAATTTCATCAATGTCAAAGTCAGTTGCTTCGTCTCCATAAAGAAGGCTTAGGTGTTAGTAGACTGCTAGAATTTACTGCCTACAGACTTCTTTATTACATCTTCACTCTCGATATTTTAGGTAAGTTAATCGCACTCCGAAAATTGCTTTATTATTCTACTTGAGCTTAGCTTTTCACTTTCAGAGGCTCTGCGTTTCGTGGCATCTTATTAGTAGCCTCAGTAGCTATTTCCATTTTAAGTTTGAAAGTCATCAAGAATATTTTCTTTTAAAAAGTACTTCTTATAGGTTCTTTATCCTGATTGACCAGGTGTCTGATTGTCCCTAAATTAACATCATTCTTAATATTTTCTTTCTGTGCGATCAGTTGGTTGTTTTTTATTAATATCTACTGACTCAGGAGTGGAAAGAGGTGTTCATTATCTGTATTGGATATATTACTTGACCAATAAAACTACGTTAGATAGAGTAAACGTGCGATCACTGATTCACTTTTAGTCGTTAACCCAATAAACTAGAGCCCCATGGAGATGGTGTTATTATTTAGCCTTTGACCGCAGACTTCTAATGGTACTTCTCTTTTCATTTATTGTATCGTGAGTCAAATATCAGTAGTTGTGTGCATCTGGAAATTGGCCCCTATGATCTCTTTCTTTTTCCGTCTACAACATTCAATAGCTTCACTGATGTGAATATGATTTAGATGTAAGATCAATTTGTTATTTCTAACTGAAAATGTGAAGATTCACAGTACCAGAATGTAAGACAGTTGATTTGTGACACTCGTTAAACTAGAGAAGCACATAATGTGAATCAGTCTAGCAAAATACCGTATTTGTACGGCTTTCACTTGCTAGCACTAGCTGCTAAAATGATTTATCTGTTGGAGATCCGTTCATGTCTTTCACCTCATTATTTGAATGTCTTATTTGTATTACTGAATTGGAATATGACCAAATCTTTCTTTATTTCACTAGGTATCAATACTATCATGGCTGGTTTACGTCCAACTCACAAAACTAATCCATGTGTTTCATTTGCTTTAAAACTCCGGTCAGCGTGGTCGTTGAGTAATTATCACCGTTTCTTCAAACTTCTTTGTCCAGCTAATGATGATCAACAACCTCCCTTACGGTGCAAACATGTTGTAAACTGGTTTGTTGATCGTGAAAGAAAAGAGGCTATCAGACTAATGTTTAAGGTGTACGTTGTGTTGTGATTTGTAATAATAGTTTTATAACTTGTAGGTGGTATTATTAGGGTTACTAATGGTAAGATTGTTTCTAGCGTTAAAAGAAAGAAAAAGCTATACTTAATCATCTAAGTTTGTTTATGATCGTTCAGGGAATGGACTGTTTTTTCACTTATCACAAATATTGTTTTATTATCACTAGCTAGTTGATTTTATTATAACTACTGCTATTAATTAATTATTTTGACTGATACTAGGAAGAACTGTGACAGTAGTCATCATCACAACACAAGATAATGATAGTTTATGTGATGCTGTTAATATTTCTTCTGCTTGAACCGATTGCAAGATCTCAGTCATTACAAAATTCAGCGCCTTAAATATGGTTTCTATTTAGGGTAAACAGTTTTGAAATGATCATTGGCTTAATAGTCACCCAGATCTCGTAACCAATGGTTGGAGACTCTGGATGACATGGCTCAGAATCGATCACAAAGGCGTGGGTGTATACACTCTTTGTATTGAACACCAAAACTGTCCACGTATGTTTTTTTTTAAAAAAGCAACTCTATTAGGACATTTTATGCAACAAATATTTGGAATTTTACGAATTTTCTTTCACCACTAGATCATGCCACTTCATTAATTTTAAAAGTCGGATGTGTTGTAGCTCACTAACTGACAGATGCGTTGAAAGCGTAAGCTCATTAATATTTAAGTTCTTTGTGTCTATTAGAACGATAGGCTTATTTTTTTCCTTTGCAGTAATCATCAATATGTATACTCAGTTAGCCTTTGACATCTAATCTAACTTTTGTGCCCTCAAATGTTGACGATTACTTAATATTAGTCAGATTAATGTTTAACGTTATGTGTTTTAGTATATTTTTTGTGCCTATATCATATTTATCCGTCCTAGTATGTTTGTAAGTTGTGGTAGTTTACTTTTTAATGAAAAATTAATTTCATGGACACGTTCCGCTTTCTCTCTTCTTGTACTTCATTTGCTATCGGAGAAGTCTGTTTCTTGTTAATTTTGATTCGATGCTTTCTACTTAAGTATACGTATATGCACTTAATTTTTGTAATTAAATTTTTTCTTAACAGATTTTTGTGCTTCCTTCAAAATCATAAATCTTTAAGGTATACGGCTTTGTAATCTTTTTACGTATTCAGTTCATGTTTATGTTTTAATTTTGCATACTGATAATTCTGAATTTTTTTCTATTTACTACTATCTGCAAATATCGTTTACGTGAATTTCGCTTGATGCCCTCAACGTATTCGTTTGTTTTCAATATGGATTCTTCCACTACACTTGCTAATGTTAATTGCTTATTTCAATTATGATCTTTTTTTCTGATCTTTCAAACCCATTTCCTACGAAATATCCCCACTTTTAGTTTCCGTCCTACAATAAGTCTTTCGTTTATATCAAAATTAATCGGGTTTTCCTCTACTGCTTTATGTAAAGATTTTATTTGTAAAGAATTTACTCTACCAGAATCCAATTTGGAGCCGATAGAAAAAATCGATGCGAAGATGGTTTGGAGTCTTATGTGTTCACAGTCAACATGAATCGATGCTGCTACTTCATCGTTCATCTGGATGTGAGTTCCTACAATGTGGCATTAAATTCTTCAGTGACGGTTGTATTTCGTAAATAATATCAGATTATTGTACATAAGTTTATATATATTATCAGAATAATTTTATTTCCACATATTTTCCATTGTTCTGATTGTCTTGGTTGGGACACGAGCGCTACGGAAAATTCTATATATGAAGGTCTGTCTTACTCAAGTAATTTCGCCGATCACCACGTGGTGTCTGACGCTCCGTGTATAGTTAAGTTGCAATGTTACACTGGCAGGTGCTTGCTTAGCTTAATAAGCTGTAGCGGTAGAAGTTATATAATGTGTACAATCTGTATTCGCATCTTATTGCCGTACTCATAGTTCTGGGTTATATACACTCAGGTACTCACAAGACTTAAGGTCTGAACAGAGTGTACCATTAACATCTAGTAATATGTTGCTTTCACAAAGATGGACTGATCCAACTTTTAGATGCAATGTCTTTAGTATGATATGTAAATATCTTTGGCAATCAGGTGCTTTGCTGTGTGGGTGTCTTGTTTGGTCCGGATTTATGGATTAGTCTTATTCCTAGCATGTCATGTTTTTTCTTGAGGGATAACTGGTGTACAGCAATTTATTTCAATAGTCAGGTAAGGTTTATTGAAGTAAACTGAGTATGGGGCAGCTGGTTATTTGTATTTCCAGAGGAATACACGTCGATAAAGTCCTTTGTTTCAGTGCCAAATACTTCGTTCAGTAACATTCCCCAAGTCTGTCTAACTTGTGATGCAAAGTGGAGGAAGAAGAATCGAAGTGAGTGTAACGTCTCAATGAACGTGAAAATAGGGATTGAGAAATATATTATCCCGAAACAAATGTATGCCATAAAATAAGTTTTATAAAGACGGTGAAGTAAGTGTTTATTAGTCTGCATTTATTGGATTGGACTCAACCCAATACTAGACTGATTTGCAATCTGTCGGATTTAGCTGTAACTTATGAGTTGTATAGCGAGCAGTAGTTACTCTTTGTAAGAGCTCCAGTTTGTAGTATGGATTAAAGATAATGTGGAAGACCTGTGTTTTGTGGATGGTGTGTGTCGTCCTCATAACGCTCGTTTTATGAATTTTCTTCCCTCAGTTTAAGCCTCATTCCTTCCAGACGCGGACTGCCATATTTAGGAAAGGGTATTTGAGTGTTCGGTGTCAAATGAGCCGACGCGTTGGTACCAGTCTGGTATTTTGTCATGGCTGGGCCACGGGCTCGACGTTCATAACTTTTACGGTAGTTGGACAAAACTTGTGCAAGGGATTACTTCAATGCAGTCAGAAGCATGTTGGTTTATTACACACCTATTATCATAGACTGCATTGGCACATAATATGTGTGACAATATTGTTGGTGTAATAACTGCGGTTGCTATCGAATTGGATATATTCAGCTGTTTGAATAGTAACACACAATCGCACTGGGTGATTATCGTTTGCCTCCTGTCACGTTTGGACATTACTGGATCCTCCGAACTGCTGTAAACTTAATACATCTAGCTCATTTGTAAGCCAACCATTCTTAAACAGCTTTCACATCCTTTAGAAGGGTTTCGAAGTGATTATCATAAGAGTTGAGGCTTAAATCTGCTCCTGTGGGTATCAAAAGGTTTTGCTACATGGTAGTGTAAGTCGATTTGTATTGGTAAACAGTTCAGTGTCGTTCACAGCATTTGGTTAAAGCACTTGGGCCATATACGTGCCATTGTCCAGCTAATTTAACAGCTGTCGGAAAATTGTTTTGTACTGGCTATGCGTGGGTGCCTGTCCTAAGATGGTGGTCACTTAAATCACAAGTTTATATCCTTATATGAAATCTTTACATATTACTACTATTGAAGCAACTACTAGTTATTTGGTGTTCATCGTGTTGTGCTGATGAGTTATGGCAACTTGAACTGATGCATACATGTGCCTGGTTTGTTGTGAGGGGCTGATGAAACGCCTCTGAATCCCAAAAAGACCATTTAGCAAACAGTTCACCGAATATCTCACAAATTGCCGTTCCTAGTCAAGATCAAATACAACCAATGGTCGTCGATCAATTGCTTACCATGGACAGGTGCATTGATGGGTTTTTGAGTCGGGGTTTTGACGTGAAGTTTTATAGCAACAGGGTGGACATCAAGTTTCATGTTAGCTTTTAACTGTTCGTTAGCTGAGTCCCCTGCTGGACTGATCGTGCTTGCCGTATCTTAGTGTAACTACCACATAGAGGCTTCCTAAACAAGGATATTTCATTCTTACTCGTATGTCACATAGGAAATTCGTTACAGTACATGTGGCGGTGGTTTTGTTCTGTTTCTTTTAACGAGTACTACTGAAACATTTCTGTAATAATGTTATGTTTCTCTTCACACATCATAATGTCGGATGACAACGTCTATTGAAGTTACATGCTATCAATTAACCTTGACTATTTCGATTGTGTAATTAGAAGTATCTTAGTTTCATGTATACTGAGTATAACTGAGTGCTGAAGTTGTTGGTAGGGCTATTCAACGATGTACTGTACGAATTTGGCTGACAGATTATATGGGTGAATCGTTTTCCCATCTAATTTTTTTCGTGAACCGATCCAAGTTAGATAATCATTTGGAACCAGATAACACTAAAGTCATTGCCAGTTGAGTTGAACAGTTGCGTGTATTAGACAGTTACTCATTAAATACGATCAAAGTTGGTGACGCTATAAGGTTGAAGTTAGACATATACACTGTTTGATTTCACCTCAGTGATCTAAGGGCTAGACAGCAGTGCACTAGACGTAAGGTGCTGTATCTGATCATATGTGTCGGGATTTGGGAACCTCACTGATGAGACCTTCCATACGGGACGAAACAAATCAAGTGATTTTAGGTGTCTATGTGTGTATAACGTAGGTCGGTTTTTGTTATGAAAAACTATAATAATCTTTGTACTGATAGTCTCTGCATACTTTGACAGCTTATCAAGACAGGTGATTTCAATATATATATGACAGACTTACAAAAAACTCGTGTTCTTAAAGGGTTTGATCAGTCAGTGGAAAAGGCCACTAGCTCTATCTTTTTGAAACCAAAAGATCAAGATATCTTCTGAGAAATATTAAAACATGTATAATCCAAAGCATTTTGATTTTCTAAAACTATAACTATTCAATGAATTTACAATTCGTTTTAACTTCCAGCACCATCCAAACATTTACTATATATTCTTCAGATTATATTTTTTAGTCAATATGATTGTCAGATATTGCAATTTTGTAACGAACCTATCTTACTTAGATTTACGTGTTTAAATCAGCGTGAGCCTGTATGGTAGCCAGTGACCTAGAAACAATAGTTCCAAGCAAAACTCAACATTGTGATCATTTGTCAGACAATCATACTTAGTGACAGTATTGTTTATTTAGGATGCGCGTTCTGGATTCCACTGCTAGCCGCTTTCCGTCTTTGCTTAAAATGCTTATGACTTAAGGCTATATCGAGGCCATCTGAACAGGATGCACATATGCCAACATGAGACTGATCAATTGCAGTCCTAAATAACGATCGGAAGATACAAGTAAAACAATACCAATTGAATTTAAACGTCACCCCATTGCACAATCAGGTGGCCATCAGAAATCAGTAGCTAAGTGACTATCGTGATGGCGTTTGAAGCGAATAATACTGGCTTCGAGTCCCGGAGTGAGCATCACTCTGCGATGCAGGTACATCCAACTGACGAGTTCCAAATGGGACGAAACATGCGTCCTGGATTCCATTGTTAGCCACTATCTATCTTTGCTTAAAACGTTTGTGACTTAAGGCTATATAGAGTCAATCTGCTCAGAATACACATATATACCGACATAAGACTGATCAATTGCAGTTTTAAATACAACAACAATGGAAAGATACTATTAAAACAACACCAAGTGAATCTAAATAAGTTATGTTATTTTTTTAATATTAAAAACATTGTTTCAGATATTCTAACCATCATTCATTTGTTTGTAGATAATTACTAAAGCAAATAATAGACACTAAGGGAGCATAACATATTGTTTCTTTCAAAAAGCCAAAAAGAAATGTAGAACAAACAAGGGAATATAAATCTTATTATAAAATATAAGAATAAACAGCTACATTGTCACCGATCAATATGAGACATAAAATACAATTGTTTATTCGGAAGTTTTATTGAAAATGTAGTTAAAAAAAATGGGAAGGAATTCAGACGAAATGATAATTATTGAAAATTAGCTGTTACATTTCTGTTCAATATTGAGTTAAAAAGAAAACTAATATGGAATATATTGGAAATTATGAATGTTGAATTTACATACTGAGTATTCGAATACTCATGTTTTGTATTGACTATGAGCATTTCGTTGTGAGAGAAAACTTATTTAATTTCAATTGTAATTTTAAATGTAGTACCATATATTTTGTTACTTTAAGCATCTAAATCATATGTTACCTAAAAAGCAAACAAGGAAACACAGTTACACTAAAATAAAGACAACTATTATTATTATTATCAGAAGGGGTTTTGTGGGGAGTTTAATAATTTCAATAGTTGAAATCATGAATCGATTGAAGCTAGACAACCATGGAAAACCTGGAAGCACTGGACGGCCGTTTCGTCCCAGTAGGGGACTCCTCGGCGATGCGCAATTCCGTGGATCTGTTGAAGTTTGACATTAACACCGCTGGATGCCGGTTCAGTGGTCTAATGTTTAAGCGCTCGCGCGCGAGACTGATAAGTCCTGGGGTTCGAATCTCGCAGGGGGTATGATCGTGGATGCGCACTGCTGAGAAGTCGCATACTGGGACAAAACGGTCATCCAGTGCCTCCATGTTTTCCATGTTGGTTTAGCTTCGATTGACTCATGATTTCAACTATTGAAAATCTTATTATTATTCATCTTGTAGTTGTGCTCATTGATAAATAGCAAACAATGTGAAGATCTAAAGTTTAATTTGGATAGTCACTATTAAATAAATATTCTAAGAGTGTTTTTTTGGCCAGGTAATCCAATAACAGAGAAAATGAAAGATTTTGAACCGCAAATCCTTTGTGCCAAAATTCCTTCACAATAATCTGAATTTTTGTCTTCTCACAACAGAAAAAGGTCATTATGATCAAAGTTTTCACTAAGACTAATACGTTCCAATGATTGAATTGAATTAAATTGTGCTTGTATAAAAAAAATACAACGGAAAATTGTACTGATTTACTGTTATATTTTCTACTACTCTTGGTCAATATTTCTCTCACAAAGCTGTTGACAACACATAAATATTCTAAAAATCAAGTGGTCTAACTACGTAATTATATAGACACAATATTTAGGCTAGCATTACTGATTACACCCGCTTCAGTAGGCAAACAAATGCAACTGATTCATTTAGCAGTCATTTGTAGTTACATGTAAAACTTACAAAGTTCAGTTGTCTAATTCCAACATAAGAATAGATAATATTATTCTACTGTGCAAATAAGCGCTACGGAATAATATGAAGACTGTCACAATTGGCATCAACTGTTGTTTGTTCACATATGATCTTCATATTTTTGTAAATATTGAGTGTTGTTTAGAAATCATAATAACTGTAACTTAAAGTTAACATAAATGCTTAAACAGTAATAAAAATGAAATCGTATGTTAAATACGTACCTTTAATAATCGTAACCGGATTAGAATTAATCTAACAAAATAAATACTGAATATAATGAACAGAATTAAAAGTGGTATCACAAAAAACAAGCATGTATATGAATTGGAAATTTGTTTTCCTTCAGAAAAATTGGGCGGAATTGAAAAAGAAATCTGAAATGAGAAAAAAGCAATCAGTGTGAATAGTGTATTGTTGTTAAGGTATAAAATAGAAACACTAAAACCCTGTGAATGCATGTGAACTGTCAGAGCTCGGTAAAATATCACAGAGATTATACATTCATATGATGATCACCATACCAAACAATCATTCATTATATTGACTACAAGTTGATCGTTGAGTGCATCAACAATGCATAATAATTCAACTACCTTACAAAACCCATATTGAACGGAACATCAATTCAATTATTCAGTGTTGTTCAGTGTTTTCATGAATGAGACTACACTCGTGTTTGATTGAATAATCACAACAAATAAAACCCTTTCATTTATTCGATTCTAATTAAATGCACGTCAATAAATACACGTGGCAATAAATGTCTCATCGAGTGTGTAAATTGGCAACGTGAAATTATGAAGTATTGCAAACAAAGTGTCAAAATGAAAACTACTTACATTGTTCTCAGTCGTGTTTCGTAGAACAGATTCTCTCAAACCCTTTGATGTTGAATTTCGCCTACATTGATTCTGAGAATTGTTCTGAAAAATGAAACAATACATGCAATGTGAAATGTCAAATGTGTACAATGAATTGTTTGTTCATTCGACATTGCTGTGAGTATCAGTAAACGAACAGAATCCTGTAAAATGTAACGGAAATTATACATTCACATGGTGATCAACATACCAAACAATCATTCATTACATCGACTACAAGTTGGTCGTTGAGTGCATCGACAATGCACACGAACTCAACTAACTTACAAGTCTCATGTTGAATGGAACGTCCATTCCACTGTTCGCCAATATCTAGATTTGTGGAATACGAGTAAGTGAAGCGATGATTAATTCCTAGTGAGTATATGTGCCAACATAGACTGATTAGATGCGGTCGTGAAAATCATCACCGCAAAATTACTGGACCTCACCGATTTCACAAACACGCTTCACAATTTCCCCAACCTCCACGATCACCACTAAAACGCAACATTTCTACACTTTTCAAAACTCATCATTGTTCATAATACTCCCTGTGGCTGATGTACACATGCGAGAGCCAAGGTACCCACATCGCTTGCGAATGGCTGCACAATCAATCAAGTGATCAACTCAGATATTTCGGATCATGCAAGTCATGTTTCACTGCTTGCTGCTATTTGTTCAGTGTTGTCATATATGAGATTACACTCGTATTTGATTAGATAATCGAAACGAATACAACACTTTCGTTTCATCGCTTCCAAACAAACGCCTGTCAACAAATACAAGTGGCAATAAATGTTTCATCGAATGTGAAAATTGGCAGTCTGAAACAAATGAACATTAGAAACAAAGTGTCAGATTGAAAACTACTTACATTATTCTCATTTGTGGTTTGTACAGCAGATTCTCTCATTCCCTTTGGTGTTAAATTTTGCGAACGTTGAGGTTGAGAAATATTCTGAAAAATGATACAATGAATGCAATATGAAATGTCAAATGTGTACAATGAATTGTTTGTTCATTCGACATTGCTGTGAGTATCAGTAAACGAACAGAATCCTGTAAAATGTAACGGAAATTATACATTCACATGGTGATCAACATACCAAACAATCATTCATTACATCGACTACAAGTTGGTCGTTGAGTGCATCAACAATGCACACGAACTCAACTAACTTACAAGTCTCATGTTGAATGGAACGTCCATTCCACTGTTCGCCAACATCTAGATTTGTGGAATACGAGTAAGTGAAGCGATGATCAATTCCTAGTGAGTATATGTGCCAACATAGACTGATTAGATGCGGTCGTGAAAATCATCACCGCAAAATTACTGGACCTCACAGATTTCACAAACACGCTTCACAATTTCCCCAACCTCCACGATCACCACTAAAACGCAACATTTCTACACTTTTCAAAACTCATCATTGTTCATAATACTCCCTGTGGCTGATGTACACATGCGAGAGCCAAGGTACCCACATCGCTTGCGAATGGCTGCACAATCAATCAAGTGATCAACTCAGATATTTCGGATCATGCAAGTCATGTTTCACTGCTTGCTGCTATTTGTTCAGTGTTGTCATATATGAGATTACACTCGTATTTGATTAGATAATCGAAACGAATACAACACTTTCGTTTCATCGCTTCCAAACAAACGCCTGTCAACAAATACAAGTGGCAATAAATGTTTCATCGAATGTGAAAATTGGCAGTCTGAAACAAATGAACATTAGAAACAAAGTGTCAGATTGAAAACTACTTACATTATTCTCATTTGTGGTTTGTACAGCAGATTCTCTCATTCCCTTTGGTGTTAAATTTTGCGAACGTTGAGGTTGAGAAATATTCTGAAAAATGATACAATGAATGCAATATGAAATGTCAAATGTGTACAATGAATTGTTTGTTCATTCGACATTGCTGTGAGTATCAGTAAACGAACAGAATCCTGTAAAATGTAACGGAAATTATACATTCACATGGTGATCAACATACCAAACAATCATTCATTACATCGACTACAAGTTGGTCGTTGAGTGCATCGACAATGCACACGAACTCAACTAACTTACAAGTCTCATGTTGAATGGAACGTCCATTCCACTGTTCGCCAATATCTAGATTTGTGGAATACGAGTAAGTGAAGCGATGATTAATTCCTAGTGAGTATATGTGCCAACATAGACTGATTAGATGCGGTCGTGAAAATCATCACCGCAAAATTACTGGACCTCACCGATTTCACAAACACGCTTCACAATTTCCCCAACCTCCACGATCACCACTAAAACGCAACATTTCTACACTTTTCAAAACTCATCATTGTTCATAATACTCCCTGTGGCTGATGTACACATGCGAGAGCCAAGGTACCCACATCGCTTGCGAATGGCTGCACAATCAATCAAGTGATCAACTCAGATATTTCGGATCATGCAAGTCATGTTTCACTGCTTGCTGCTATTTGTTCAGTGTTGTCATATATGAGATTACACTCGTATTTGATTAGATAATCGAAACGAATACAGCACTTTCGTTTCATCGCTTCCAAACAAACGCCTGTCAACAAATACAAGTGGCAATAAATGTTTCATCGAATGTGAAAATTGGCAGTCTGAAACAAATGAACATTAGAAACAAAGTGTCAGATTGAAAACTACTTACATTATTCTCATTTGTGGTTTGTACAGCAGATTCTCTCATTCCCTTTGGTGTTAAATTTTGCGAACGTTGAGGTTGAGAAATATTCTGAAAAATGATACAATGAATGCAATATGAAATGTCAAATGTGTACAATGAATTGTTTGTTCATTCGACATTGCTGTGAGTATCAGTAAACGAACAGAATCCTGTAAAATGTAACGGAAATTATACATTCACATGGTGATCAACATACCAAACAATCATTCATTACATCGACTACAAGTTGGTCGTTGAGTGCATCGACAATGCACACGAACTCAACTAACTTACAAGTCTCATGTTGAATGGAACGTCCATTCCACTGTTCGCCAATATCTAGATTTGTGGAATACGAGTAAGTGAAGCGATGATTAATTCCTAGTGAGTATATGTGCCAACATAGACTGATTAGATGCGGTCGTGAAAATCATCACCGCAAAATTACTGGACCTCACCGATTTCACAAACACGCTTCACAATTTCCCCAACCTCCACGATCACCACTAAAACGCAACATTTCTACACTTTTCAAAACTCATCATTGTTCATAATACTCCCTGTGGCTGATGTACACATGCGAGAGCCAAGGTACCCACATCGCTTGCGAATGGCTGCACAATCAATCAAGTGATCAACTCAGATATTTCGGATCATGCAAGTCATGTTTCACTGCTTGCTGCTATTTGTTCAGTGTTGTCATATATGAGATTACACTCGTATTTGATTAGATAATCGAAACGAATACAACACTTTCGTTTCATCGCTTCCAAACAAACGCCTGTCAACAAATACAAGTGGCAATAAATGTTTCATCGAATGTGAAAATTGGCAGTCTGAAACAAATGAACATTAGAAACAAAGTGTCAGATTGAGAACTACTTACATTATTCTCATTCGTGGTTTGTACAGAAGATTCTCTCGTTCCCTTTGGTGTTAAATTTTGCGAACGTTGAGGTTGAGAAATATTCTGAAAAATGATACAATGAATGCAATATGAAATGTCAAATGTGTACAATGAATTGTTTGTTCATTCGACATTGCTGTGAGTATCAGTAAACGAACAGAATCCTGTAAAATGTAACGGAAATTATACATTCACATGGTGATCAACATACCAAACAATCATTCATTACATCGACTACAAGTTGGTCGTTGAGTGCATCGACAATGCACACGAACTCAACTAACTTACAAGTCTCATGTTGAATGGAACGTCCATTCCACTGTTCGCCAATATCTAGATTTGTGGAATACGAGTAAGTGAAGCGATGATTAATTCCTAGTGAGTATATGTGCCAACATAGACTGATTAGATGCGGTCGTGAAAATCATCACCGCAAAATTACTGGACCTCACCGATTTCACAAACACGCTTCACAATTTCCCCAACCTCCACGATCACCACTAAAACGCAACATTTCTACACTTTTCAAAACTCATCATTGTTCATAATACTCCCTGTGGCTGATGTACACATGCGAGAGCCAAGGTACCCACATCGCTTGCGAATGGCTGCACAATCAATCAAGTGATCAACTCAGATATTTCGGATCATGCAAGTCATGTTTCACTGCTTGCTGCTATTTGTTCAGTGTTGTCATATATGAGATTACACTCGTATTTGATTAGATAATCGAAACGAATACAACACTTTCGTTTCATCGCTTCCAAACAAACGCCTGTCAACAAATACAAGTGGCAATAAATGTTTCATCGAATGTGAAAATTGGCAGTCTGAAACAAATGAACATTAGAAACAAAGTGTCAGATTGAGAACTACTTACATTATTCTCATTCGTGGTTTGTACAGAAGATTCTCTCGTTCCCTTTGGTGTTAAATTTTGCGAACGTTGAGGTTGAGAAATATTCTGAAAAATGATACAATGAATGCAATATGAAATGTCAAATGTGTACAATGAATTGTTTGTTCATTCGACATTGCTGTGAGTATCAGTAAACGAACAGAATCCTGTAAAATGTAACGGAAATTATACATTCACATGGTGATCAACATACCAAACAATCATTCATTACATCGACTACAAGTTGGTCGTTGAGTGCATCGACAATGCACACGAACTCAACTAACTTACAAGTCTCATGTTGAATGGAACGTCCATTCCACTGTTCGCCAATATCTAGATTTGTGGAATACGAGTAAGTGAAGCGATGATTAATTCCTAGTGAGTATATGTGCCAACATAGACTGATTAGATGCGGTCGTGAAAATCATCACCGCAAAATTACTGGACCTCACCGATTTCACAAACACGCTTCACAATTTCCCCAACCTCCACGATCACCACTAAAACGCAACATTTCTACACTTTTCAAAACTCATCATTGTTCATAATACTCCCTGTGGCTGATGTACACATGCGAGAGCCAAGGTACCCACATCGCTTGCGAATGGCTGCACAATCAATCAAGTGATCAACTCAGATATTTCGGATCATGCAAGTCATGTTTCACTGCTTGCTGCTATTTGTTCAGTGTTGTCATATATGAGATTACACTCGTATTTGATTAGATAATCGAAACGAATACAACACTTTCGTTTCATCGCTTCCAAACAAACGCCTGTCAACAAATACAAGTGGCAATAAATGTTTCATCGAATGTGAAAATTGGCAGTCTGAAACAAATGAACATTAGAAACAAAGTGTCAGATTGAAAACTACTTACATTATTCTCATTTGTGGTTTGTACAGCAGATTCTCTCATTCCCTTTGGTGTTAAATTTTGCGAACGTTGAGGTTGAGAAATATTCTGAAAAATGATACAATGAATGCAATATGAAATGTCAAATGTGTACAATGAATTGTTTGTTCATTCGACATTGCTGTGAGTATCAGTAAACGAACAGAATCCTGTAAAATGTAACGGAAATTATACATTCACATGGTGATCAACATACCAAACAATCATTCATTACATCGACTACAAGTTGGTCGTTGAGTGCATCGACAATGCACACGAACTCAACTAACTTACAAGTCTCATGTTGAATGGAACGTCCATTCCACTGTTCGCCAATATCTAGATTTGTGGAATACGAGTAAGTGAAGCGATGATTAATTCCTAGTGAGTATATGTGCCAACATAGACTGATTAGATGCGGTCGTGAAAATCATCACCGCAAAATTACTGGACCTCACCGATTTCACAAACACGCTTCACAATTTCCCCAACCTCCACGATCACCACTAAAACGCAACATTTCTACACTTTTCAAAACTCATCATTGTTCATAATACTCCCTGTGGCTGATGTACACATGCGAGAGCCAAGGTACCCACATCGCTTGCGAATGGCTGCACAATCAATCAAGTGATCAACTCAGATATTTCGGATCATGCAAGTCATGTTTCACTGCTTGCTGCTATTTGTTCAGTGTTGTCATATATGAGATTACACTCGTATTTGATTAGATAATCGAAACGAATACAACACTTTCGTTTCATCGCTTCCAAACAAACGCCTGTCAACAAATACAAGTGGCAATAAATGTTTCATCGAATGTGAAAATTGGCAGTCTGAAACAAATGAACATTAGAAACAAAGTGTCAGATTGAAAACTACTTACATTATTCTCATTTGTGGTTTGTACAGCAGATTCTCTCATTCCCTTTGGTGTTAAATTTTGCGAACGTTGAGGTTGAGAAATATTCTGAAAAATGATACAATGAATGCAATATGAAATGTCAAATGTGTACAATGAATTGTTTGTTCATTCGACATTGCTGTGAGTATCAGTAAACGAACAGAATCCTGTAAAATGTAACGGAAATTATACATTCACATGGTGATCAACATACCAAACAATCATTCATTACATCGACTACAAGTTGGTCGTTGAGTGCATCGACAATGCACACGAACTCAACTAACTTACAAGTCTCATGTTGAATGGAACGTCCATTCCACTGTTCGCCAATATCTAGATTTGTGGAATACGAGTAAGTGAAGCGATGATTAATTCCTAGTGAGTATATGTGCCAACATAGACTGATTAGATGCGGTCGTGAAAATCATCACCGCAAAATTACTGGACCTCACCGATTTCACAAACACGCTTCACAATTTCCCCAACCTCCACGATCACCACTAAAACGCAACATTTCTACACTTTTCAAAACTCATCATTGTTCATAATACTCCCTGTGGCTGATGTACACATGCGAGAGCCAAGGTACCCACATCGCTTGCGAATGGCTGCACAATCAATCAAGTGATCAACTCAGATATTTCGGATCATGCAAGTCATGTTTCACTGCTTGCTGCTATTTGTTCAGTGTTGTCATATATGAGATTACACTCGTATTTGATTAGATAATCGAAACGAATACAACACTTTCGTTTCATCGCTTCCAAACAAACGCCTGTCAACAAATACAAGTGGCAATAAATGTTTCATCGAATGTGAAAATTGGCAGTCTGAAACAAATGAACATTAGAAACAAAGTGTCAGATTGAAAACTACTTACATTATTCTCATTTGTGGTTTGTACAGCAGATTCTCTCATTCCCTTTGGTGTTAAATTTTGCGAACGTTGAGGTTGAGAAATATTCTGAAAAATGATACAATGAATGCAATATGAAATGTCAAATGTGTACAATGAATTGTTTGTTCATTCGACATTGCTGTGAGTATCAGTAAACGAACAGAATCCTGTAAAATGTAACGGAAATTATACATTCACATGGTGATCAACATACCAAACAATCATTCATTACATCGACTACAAGTTGGTCGTTGAGTGCATCGACAATGCACACGAACTCAACTAACTTACAAGTCTCATGTTGAATGGAACGTCCATTCCACTGTTCGCCAATATCTAGATTTGTGGAATACGAGTAAGTGAAGCGATGATTAATTCCTAGTGAGTATATGTGCCAACATAGACTGATTAGATGCGGTCGTGAAAATCATCACCGCAAAATTACTGGACCTCACCGATTTCACAAACACGCTTCACAATTTCCCCAACCTCCACGATCACCACTAAAACGCAACATTTCTACACTTTTCAAAACTCATCATTGTTCATAATACTCCCTGTGGCTGATGTACACATGCGAGAGCCAAGGTACCCACATCGCTTGCGAATGGCTGCACAATCAATCAAGTGATCAACTCAGATATTTCGGATCATGCAAGTCATGTTTCACTGCTTGCTGCTATTTGTTCAGTGTTGTCATATATGAGATTACACTCGTATTTGATTAGATAATCGAAACGAATACAACACTTTCGTTTCATCGCTTCCAAACAAACGCCTGTCAACAAATACAAGTGGCAATAAATGTTTCATCGAATGTGAAAATTGGCAGTCTGAAACAAATGAACATTAGAAACAAAGTGTCAGATTGAAAACTACTTACATTATTCTCATTTGTGGTTTGTACAGCAGATTCTCTCATTCCCTTTGGTGTTAAATTTTGCGAACGTTGAGGTTGAGAAATATTCTGAAAAATGATACAATGAATGCAATATGAAATGTCAAATGTGTACAATGAATTGTTTGTTCATTCGACATTGCTGTGAGTATCAGTAAACGAACAGAATCCTGTAAAATGTAACGGAAATTATACATTCACATGGTGATCAACATACCAAACAATCATTCATTACATCGACTACAAGTTGGTCGTTGAGTGCATCAACAATGCATAAGAATTCAACTACCTTACAAAACCCATATTGAACGAAACATCAATTCAATTATTCAGTGTTGTTCAGTGTTTTCATGAATGAGACTGCACTCGTGTTTGATTGAATAATCACAACCAATACAACACTTTCATTTCATCGCTTCCATATAAGCGCCTGTCAATTTATATTCATATAAATCAAATTTCCGATTTGCAGTGTCCATTTTCATTATTTAACTTATAATTATCTAAGCCATCCTTTCATGATTCAAAATCACCTACATTTGCATCGCAACCGTTCTTCATCCATATATCTGCATGATAATCACGGCCATTACTGCATTTTTCAATCATTGAACACCAGTAACACTGAGATTCAGCTCTATTTGTATTTATGCATAAATCTTTAGTATTTTGTATGTCGCAAACGTCTGCAAATAAAATGAGATGAGTGTGTTAGAATTTTTGTGATAAGAACCAAATTTTGTACGTTACGGTGAATTTAAACAGAAAATGTGATCCCGATTTATTTGTTGTACTCAGTTTATTCTTTATCTTTTAAAATTACTCAGACTTCACAATAGCTTATGTCAGTCAACTCATTTGGAGTTATCATTTGTCTTCGACTTCAACTCAGTATATGATATAAGAAAGGTGTGCGTTAAGTCCCATCAGTTGTGAAGCCTTTGCAAAAGTTTATTAGTACTTCGAAGATACATGCTGTTATTAATGTTGGCAAACATTATTTACAGTTGATGGTGTTGGTAAGCTGTGATATAAAGAGTTATTGTTTGTTTCGAAAGTTTAAGAAATCACATTCATCGGTTTGTTTAAGAATACTAGATTCGTGTGAGGTTAATGTCATACTGCGAATTTGTAGCCATATAATAACTCCATAATTAGTGTGAATATAACTTGAACAAACAACATTACGTTGAATGTCGAACATCCTTAATGCATTTGACAACCGAGTGTTTGACTTTTAATAATCATCCAAATTTAATGCATTATTGCTACTTCAGATTTAACTAGAGGAAACATATCATACCATGGTTAAAATCTCGTTGATTTCACATTTCCCCGTTTTGATGGTAAGTATGTGATTGAATTATCAAGACATTCTGTAGTGTGGCTTATTATGTTAAGCCCATATATCTTATTCTAGCTTTCGGACAGGCCAATCTATACATTCTACTTGAGTCACATTTTGACCTTGTTAATTATTCGCTTATCAACCTTGACTGTTTTTATATGACCGCATACGTGTGTGCCCTTCTTATCCTATTCACATTACATGTCTTTAACTTATTTTTGTGTGACTAGAAATATTGATTAATGATTGACTACATGGAGTTAGCTTATCCGCCATCTCCATTGAGCGTCGTTTTGCTTCGCTCTATTCCATTTGCTTCTCCGATATTTTATCTGGATCAAAGATTGTATGGAATATACGTGTTCGAAATTTATTCTCGTATTTGAATTATTTAATTCCGTTATTGACTAACGCGATTTAAGTCGATGATTATATACGAGGATCGGCGACATATATATTTCAATAACAATCATTCATACGATCTACTTGGAGTCAAATTGCAAAATATTAGTGATATAACAGTGCATTTCAAGTGATATCGACTTTCGCTCGAAGTTGTTTCTGTATGATTCCCAATGAGCATATTCTAGGTTTTTTGAGTAGTAACTTCACACACCAGATTGAATAAAGAAACGACACACTATAGTCCTTATGGGATATTTTATCCACATAGGGTTCAAGAGCATCTCAACAACACATGCTGTCAATAAATGAGCATGTCATTTACTCTGATGCCAAGTAATTATTATAGAAATTTCGAAATTCGTGTAACTACCTTGTGAATGGGATGGTATTCTCAGTTTCTCAATTCATATACTCATCATTAACTACATTTTACTTTGGTAAACTAGTTTCTTCAAGTATATTGACATCATGAAAATATCTATCGAATTTGATATATGATATTTCCTTCAGTATGATTGGCTTCTATCTATATGATAAAGTACAGGTCTTTAGAGTCCAGTCTGTGATCCAAGGTACTATGAAATACATCGAATGCTTCTGTGATCACAACACCTCATGGAAATTCAATACTACCCAAAATCAGTGAAAACTGAACAGAATTGGTCATTTTCGTAAAATTATCGACTAGCTGCTAGTTAATTAATTTATCCACCGTTTTGTAAGATTCCGATGAAGTGAATCATATCGAAGTGGACCATTCAACAACTATGCAGGACATCACAAAATGATTTTAAATATCCTAGAATGAGAAGAAATAATACTGCTACTAAACCAAAAGAATGGATGCCATTTAGTCATCTGACATAACTACATAAATCAAATGAGTCTTATATGAAAGAGGTTAGTGTGACTGAGGATCGATTATATCATGATATCAAACTCACCTGACATAGGTTCGAACTCCACTAATGTGCCATCTTCGATTAAGGACTCATGAGTTAATATGACGCTGTATTCTTTTTTTATAGGAGTAGGGTGCGCTAGTAATTATGAAAAAAAGTTCTGTTAAATTTTTGATTTCTGTAAGTGAGATAATAATGCAATCATGTTCAAATCATTACAGATAAATTCACATTTTATATCAATAATCGTCTTTATTAATGTTTAAAGTATGCAGATTCAACAATACATTTTTGACGAGAACTTACATTTCTAAATCGTATGTCTAACACATAATTGATGAAACACTACTCGCTATCTAAACATGCTGTAGAAAAAGATTTTCATGGACAGAGTTCGGGGTTTAAACAAGACACAGTTAAATCAGCATTATCTGACTACTGTATATTCTCCAACACTAGTGCCAAAATTCCGTTTCGTAAGACAGGTATCTCTTAGCATAGATAAGTAGTTTGGCTGAGATTATACTGAGTTGTGAAATAGATAAATAAATATCTTGAATAGTGAATATTATGTCCGACTGTCTGTCTGACATGACCGTGACGATCAAATCAAATGTAAGAAAGATATGCAGGTGGCTGCCGGGCTATCATAAGTGAATGGAATATTCACATTTTCAAAAATTTTTCCTATTTGTTCTGATCTGGACTAAATCAATAATGTATATGTATAAAGATGTGTGCTCATGACTTATGTACGTACTCATTCACCCATTTGCACTGCAGTTATCTACAAGATGTCGATTATCTTATTCTCTTTGGTTGAGCATAAACTGGGAGACTTGTTTCATGAAGGACTCAGACGAGAGAATGTGAAACTCTCTGATGACAATACATGACAACAGAATCTAACGAAGAAAAGCAAATCGATACAGAGTTGATATCGTCAGAATAGCCCAAATCGTCTTTTTTCAAACAAAATGTTGACGATCATCGGATCAATCACATACTATCGTCCAGTTTGATCTACTCAATTTAAGTTGTTCCATTTTGTGTTGTCATCAGTCGAATAAACAAAGTGTCGTGGTACTTGGATGTTGATTATGAATAAGCCACATCATTTCACGGTTGTTTGGAGATATGGCTCGTTGAATTTCGTACGAACTCACTCATCCATAGATCAAGAAAATAGACTCTGTTATCAGTTATCACAAATCTTCTTTAACTACTCTGAATGTTCCTTACTGGAATGACTGCACCATAATCCATTGTTCATCATCGGCCATAACAAAATTTCTTTAATGTTATCAGGTATCTGAAAAGGAATTGTGGAAATTTGTGTTAGAGCCTGCAGACATACAATCTTATATATTGAAGTTAGTTCTACTCATAGAGTATTGAAATTACCTTTTCATTTCAAACAGGAACATCAACTAAAGATTCAGCGAGATATAAATTAAATTACTTAACTTACAAAAGCTATCTAGTTAGGAAATGGAGATGGTGTTTTGAACGGAAAACAACCTAATCAACTATGTTTAACTAATTATGCATTGAAACGTAGTTGACATTTTGATCATTGAATAGCTCGAAAACTTTTAACAGAAGAATAATGCCTGGTTCATATAAGGAGGAACACATCTGACATCCTGCATCAGTGTTTCATAATAACTATTAAATGTTCACTGATTCACAACTTGTAGCATCACATCTTTGCTTCTAGAGATAATAGAATACTTCAATTTAGTATAAGACGATTTTCTCTTTATTTCTATATGTTATTGTTTAAATCTACCATTAGTTTACTTGAGTGTGTTGTATTGGAAATCGTATGTCACTGAAAGTGTTTATTTACTATAGAATTGATGATGTACTCAAATCATATGTAATGTATTTTGATAAGGATAACAATTTGTAATGCAAAAGACATTAAGATAAACTGATGTACTTGAATTAACTTTATGGCTTATTCAATTATTAAACTGACCTTCTCGTAGTAAAAAGATATCTTCCCATTTCGATAAATATAACAATTCGCTTTAACTGTAATGTATACAAGCAAATTACTAAAGGTTTATGTTATGAGTATGAAAATTCATGATGATGTGATTATGTTGAATGTAATACTCTATAGATTGTTTGTGAAATGATTACATGTCATAACATTTTCTGTGGTATGTTCCACTTATTATGTTAGTAATATACGTAGTCCAACAATTCGTATTACGTATTAGTTTATCAATTAAAACCAAAACCTATCAGACTTTGTAGGGAATCTATTAGTTCAAGTTATATTATCATTCGCTGAATATATTTCATACATATTCGTGAAATAATCAGTTATCAGTGGTAACGTCTCTGACTATGAAGCTGGGTGACACGGGATCAAATCTGTCAGGGAGCACCAGTTCCCTCAAGATTACAGTTACACCTTGCTGACAAGTGCCAAGTAGCCCGAAACTCCAACCACCATCTTATCTCAACATAGTGCACGCAGTGTTGAGTGACCTAGACTGGTGGCCACATTGCAACTTGAACAATAGCATTCAATCTGCACTAAGAAGGACTTGACACACATGACATTGATCACCACCCAGTGATCAATCAATTGTGAATCATTTATCACCGTACAAGATTATTCGGGCATTGTAATATGAACTATGATGTATTGTTTTGTCACATAGAACAGTTAAAAGGTCTCATTATATAAATATATACATTTTCCAATCGTTTAATTAACTTTGTTAATATAATAAACATAAATACTGTATACATTAATGGTTTTTTGATGCAAACATGTTTCCTTATAAAAATAGTGTTTTTGTGATTTGGGTTACTTATATCCATATAAGTAGTATATAACAGTGATCAGGCATTGAACGTATTTCAGCAGAAGATCGATAAGGAAAGAACGGAAGCGGAACACAGTTGACATGAAAATGCATGAATAATGAAATCTGAGACAATAGACTGATATTTGCAAAAGGAACAGTGAAGTTTGAGACGATTGGCTGATATTTTGCAAATTAACGATTTACTACATAGTCCTCAAACTTAAGTGAGATGCTCTGTAAGTTTGTATTAAATCCATTCGATTGTCCTCATTCGTGTTCTTGTTTACTGCATTTTCATCAAATCCCACTTCCAAATTCATGGTTTGATATATCTATAGTTAAGTGGTATATGCACTTAGAATCCATATTCCTTTTTATTTACAATAACCGATTTGAATGTTTCGCTGTTTTTTACTGAAGTTAACAAACGATGGTTTACTTCTATTAAGAGATAGTATGATTTCCTCATTTCTGTATACAGAACAGAATAGTTTAAACGAATAAATCGAATGTAATTAAAATAACTGAATAAATATATTACAAAATCTATACATAATATGATTACCATTATATATCTCAGACACAAATTTGATGACGACGACTTTCTCTGAAGTAATGCAAATAGATTAAGTATATAAATATATATGCCCGAATAAATTTCACAAAGGGTTATTATTTCCACTATCGCATTCAAAAACAAAGCAATTGACTTCAACGAGGTAATTATAAAGTGTCGACCTGGTTGAATATCTGAGCTACCTGTTACTGCCATTTAGATATTTCAACAAGTTATCTGCCTATTAGTCTCGTAACTTATTCTGGTGTGTTTGTGAAAAATTTACGACATTCTGCTGTACAAGTTACAAAAGAGCACAATCAGAGACATCCTGGATGCTGGTAATATGCCTTGAAAAGGATATACATTATTCAGATGTTGATTCCTGAACTGCTAACATCTAAGTAGCGACCACTCAATATTTATTGTAAGGATAGATCAAGAAATCAGAAAGGCAAACTTGTTGAAATACTTTATGCTGAGAATTCTTAATTGTACCAAAAATATAATATTAAATAAAGCCGCTAATGATAATAATAAAACTATTTCCTTCGTGTATTCAATGTATCAGTTGAACCAAACGATGATAAAGCTGTTATTCTGGTATGCCGATTCTAGGATCTAAAGTCCAAATGACACTCGCTAGCATCTGGAAAATAATAAAGGCTAATAGTTCTCTCAAAACAGGCAGTATCAAGTTTTCATTGAAGTAAAGTTTGGATACTTTTACTTTAGTTTTGGAGGACCTTCAGATTGTCAAACTACAGTTAGTTAACAATTTTTCCAGAAAAGTTATCTTAATTATCTGAAACTCAATACTGTCGACTGAAATGAAGTTAAAAAAATACTTCGAATTGAGATAGCAGTCAAAGTGTATTGGATTAGGTAAACCACATAGGACCAATCAACCAATCTTTATCAATTAATAATTCCCTGATTTAGAAGGAACAAGGCATCACGTTTTATACACATACGAGTATGGTTACCGAAGGAAGTTTCGAATATCTAATGCTTGATAGATAGTTGATACGTTACCGCAACTCAAAAACTACAGTGGTGAATGAGCTAAGTAAAAAACAAACAATGTTATTGATCAAATCTTCACTTTTCATCCCTAATAAAAACCGACTCACTACATGAACCCAACCTATAGTGTCTCACTGATCTGTGATCACTTAAATTCCCCACATTAATCTAGAAGTGATATTATAGTAAAATAGCTTATATCCTGTGACTACGAAATATGCAACTTTAAAATTGATAATAAAATGGTTCGATCTTTTTATTGCCTTACATCATGTAGTTTCTGATTATTTCAAAGTTAATATCTGCCCTATTTTACATTTTACGTAACAGCAGTAATTAGCAATCAACTTACATTGATCCTGAATTACACAAAAAGGTTGAAGAAAACGAAATAATTCCTAATGTTCTAACGGTTCTATTGTATTTGCAAACTCAGGTATTTTAATTGAACATGTAAAATATATTTAAAAAAAATGGAAATGACTCACCATTATTTCCAATCTCTACTTGAAATCTTGTATCACCACGAATTAAAAGCATTGTGATGAACCCAATCTTAGGGTATTCATCATTTGAATGTTTTAAAGTCATGAAGCCTTTTTAATAAATATGATAAATATCAGCTGGATTTTTTGGATATTATAGTAATTTCAATGGTTAAGATCATGAGTCAGTTGAAGCTAGACCACCATGGAAAATCTGGAATCCACTGAACGGCCGTTTCCAGGTTTTCCATGGTGATCTAATTTCAACTGACTCATGAACTTAACCATTGAAAACAAGATAAATTGATTTTTATTATTTTGTAAATGATGGACAAATTTTCAAATGTTTATAAACTAAGTTAAATTTTAACCATATTGTTATGAAATCTGAAACTATAAACAACTTTTAATAGAATCAGAGATATCAAACACATAGAATGAAATTGATTATATGAACCTACATGTAAATAGCCAAATTGACTAATTGAAATCAATTTACTTACCATCAATTCCTATAGAGATATTCTCATAGGGCATACCATAAAATTTGATTATGAAGGATGGTTTGAAAATCTAAAATCATATCCATATTGATATTATACTCTTGTTACAATATATATATATCACTTACTTCAACATAATCATTGATTTGACGAAAAGTTACATCAACAATTGGAAGAGGTTGATTATAACGTATTACTTGTGAGTAATAATAACGATCAAACTATTGATATGTATAGACAATACTACTATTTTCCTACCTTTGAATATGTATCACTGCATATAATCGTTTTTTGATCATTATTAGATTGAAAATTTAGTTTATCACAAGGTACATGATCTCCATAAATTTTCAATAGTGGATTATTAACCAAATAGATAATCACCAGTAGACTTAAAAGCATTTTCTATCTACAATAAACTTAATGAATATATATATATATATATATATATATATAAACTTTTTTGCTAGTTTTGCATACATTGTCGTCCACTATTGCTCTCGGTCAAATAATTATTTTCGGGTTGGCGCGTAGCACATCGTGTACCACTTTCAGATTCCAAACACCGCTCATCACGACAGTATTTGGTGACAACGACAAAAGATTAATCAACTTATATTAATCAATCGATGAAAATCGTGTCGTTGTGACAGTATCATTCGAGGCAGAATTAAAACCTGTTTTTCAGGTGCGATCTACGTTTTACCAGTAATGATGAATATGATTCGGGATGCTATGCTAATGGATTATGAAAGTCAGCAGATCTAGAAGTAATTGGATGACGGTTGACTAAACAAAGTCTATAATGATTTAATATAATACTTTCGACGACGCAATGTGTTTGGGGAACGCCTAGTTATTCTGATCACTCTTGAATCTCAGGTAGTTAAACAACTCCCTTCTGGTACAGCGTATGAAGTCATTGACACGCAGCTACACATATAGGCTGTCGATGTATAAGAACATTGAAAGCATCGTGAGGAAATGTTCACAAAGTGCACAAGCCGCAGGAATGGAAGTACAGCCATCGCCGTGTCCAGGTGCCGTAGAGCCAAGATTTTGTGTCAATGTGGATTTTTCTGGACGATTTAGTGGTCAGTTAGGTTCTTCAGAAACACTAGATAAAAACGGTGAACCTCAGTTTTCGTCAGAAATCTTGAACTTTTGCTTGAACAACGCAGTCAGACATATTCCATCGCCATACTGCTATCCGCAGTCAAACTGTCAAGGTGAGCGTCTTGTCCATGTCTTAAAGCCATCCCTTATGAAATCGCAAGGGAAGTGCACAATGGAGGAGGTCATCCAGAACTTCTTGAGAGTACGTGAAATAACCCCAAATGTGGCCTCACCTAACAGTGCCTTTTCAGTTCAGTCAATGTTCAAAACGAAGACTCGTAATTCAGTTGATAGCATGTAGCCATGATGAAAAAGACGAGATCATCAACCCAAGGTACTGAGAATTGAACGTTGGTTTTCTAATGAGTTACCAGTGTATGTAAGAAACGTTTGACAATATTGGCCTACCTGGGTAACGTATGTCATCGTAAAAAGAGTAGGTGACGATTTGTTCAAAACTTATTTGTGATGTAAATAACTAACACAACATATAAACCATATCCGCTATAGGTGACTGTATTCGGATAAAGAACCATCTGAATCGAATTTGTAACTAGATTATTTAGTTGGAACAGCCTGTTTCGAACGACCAAGTCAGCGCAGAAGAGGTTCTGCTCAGACACCAGACCCGGCTTAACAGTCAACAAACTTACCCTTACTAGTGACGCCGTCACGCGGTATACGTCGGTATTCTGGAAACAAACTTCAGTATGTGAATATACATATTAGATACAAGATAAACTGAAGAAACTTGATTATGTTTACGTATAATTGTGATGGGAAATTGCACTGAGCTGTGTGTTCCCCGAGTAAATTTGTGATTGGTGGGAAATTCCCCGAGTTTCATCATCTGTCTATCCCAATTCATTTCTCCCGTTTTCAGATTTTAACGTAAAGTCGATGAAAACATTCACGGATTTTGTCAATCGCACTATATATATATATATATATATATATATATATATATATATATATATATATATATATATATATATATATATATATATGGTATAACTTTTTTTCTCATTTTATGTATTGTTACTTTTTATAGCTGAATTCTAAGCAGATGGACTTCACTTACTTTTTTTCGATATCTGTGCATATGTACTGTCGATTGTTAAGTTTTCCACGGATCTCTTAGCTATAAAGTACTCATTCAGGGAGTTGAATTTGTTAGTTCTAGTAGTTTGATCACTTGTGGTAATTCATGTTACTTGTTTTGCTAGCCTGGATAAAGTGGCGATTCGTCATGTCAACCACTTAAGTGAAGGGAACTGCGTAGAAATCTTGGACGAATACTGCTATAGATTGTACAGTGGTCTTGATCCTTACTGTTGGCAGACCATGTAGTTGGAAAACGTAACGGGTACGTGGAACAAGAAAGTGAATACCGTTGATTTGAAGCTTGTTTATTTGCTTATTTGCAAACCCATGTATGCTCAACATTCAATACGACTAACTTTTTGAATTACTCATATTATTGAGTTGATATTTGATATACTAAGAGATACTGAGTGTGCACAAGTTGAAAGAAATTATGTAAACGGATTTATTATGAGGTTGCGCAGACCGTTGAATATCAATGAAACCATGAACAATTCAATGTGAGACGATCACTGTAAAACCGGAAGCTTTGAATGACCTTTGTGTTCGAGTATCGGGTACTTCATGAATGCTGATTCACGACACCTCTTGCGAAGTTAGAACCAAGGACATTCGGTCCTGTACGCAAACGTATAATCTCTAGAACACTAATCCGACATCTAACGGTTAAAATGCCTGACATGAAACAACCCACGACGCAACACAACAATCGTCCGATAACTTTGGTGTGAATAGTTCTCACGCAACACACGATTGAAATTCAATGATAACGGCATCTCAAAAGAATGGCGTGAAATTTTTAAAGAATGAATGGTGACAATAATGTGATTATTGACTTGAAACTGAGACAAAAGGTCAAAGGTAAGAATTCAGTCTGACTGTCTCAGAAGTTCTATCATCAATTCTAAGTTCGAGTTTGACCAGAAACGTGAAAAACAGTTAACGCATAGATGAAGATATAAACAGAAGGAAGTTCTAGTCAACGAAACAAGCTGTAAGATTAGTAGGAAAGAACACTTATAACTCCCTAACAAAATCATTCTTAACATCGTAACGAAATTTTCGGTAGAGTAAAGAGCATTTGTACTGAATAAAAGAAAAGACAAAACAATGTGTTAATACTCTGCTTGGCGTAAACAGTAATGGTTAAATTATCGGGACAAATGACATTACAGTAGAATTACCAACGTTGCCAGTAGTATCAGAAGACATTAGGTACACAGAATAAGAATCGAGACGAAATGAAATTGTTGAAAATAAATGCTTGTAGTCGATGAAAAAGCATGGATGCGCCTGCGGCAGGGTGATCAATTTGAGTAATAACATCCATTATCTGCTAGATCCAAACTAAGGTTTGGACTGAAGAATAGTTGTCTGTGTAGGTCAGACACGCGCCCTTGCTCTGTTGAAACCAAAACAAAGTGATTGGGTAAAATAACGGTTGTAAACAAACATGATCACCCATCTATTCAACCAATAATTGTTTAATTAATCAAATCAATCACAACAAACAAGTGTTATTCTATCATGTCTGGATAGACCACGCACAGATTCGTTCAAAAGATAATATTTGGTTGCTTTATAATAATTCCAATTCTAGAAGATTGCTTCAATTCACAATCAGAAGTGCACATTTTCAGTCAATACGAGAAACACAATCAAAATGAGGAACAAACCAATGTGGCTGCCGCCAAGACTAAGTATCAACTAAAACAACATAAAGGCAGTTCAGGAAGAAACATGGAAACTTAGTGAACGCGAAAGAAAAATAAAAAGTATGATAAAATACAAATATTATCAACTCAAATGGAATCAAAAAGACTAACAAAATGCGCAACTAAGGAAATCAATAGGAACAAACTGTAAGTGTATACATGAAGGGATTTTCACACACAAAACATACGAAATGGATCTTACACTATCTACAACTAGTTGTACGATAGTTGGAAAACTTATCGATCAAGTAGTGTGCGCCTACCTTAATGACTTTATGTCGTGATTGCTCACATTGTTTTGTTTACCCACAACATCAGCCATCGAATGAAAGGAAAATCAGCATACGAATACGTGAGATTTGTATGCAACAATGATCCCTTTATATTTATTAGTTCACGCTTTTGGGGATTCCAAATACGATATGATCACTTGTGCTCAGCATTTTTTTATCTGACTTATGTTGAAAATGCGTGTACCAGCCCAAAATAATCAAAACGAATTTCCGTCAACTACTGAACAATCAGAAAATCGCTATTCAGCGAACAATAGCAATTCAAGGATCACAATAATTTGATAGAATCTATGGGTCTGTTAAAGCATTCAGTCCGACTGTCTGAGAAGTTCTGTCATCAATTTTGAGTTAGAATTTGACCAAGAAAGTGAATACTAGTCAACGAAACAGATTGTGAACTTTGTAGAAAATAACCAGCAATATTTTTGTCTAACGTAAACCGCGATTTTTTTGAGTGGGAGAGGTTTGACGCTCAAATTTTCTCGTTGTTATTCAATGACGTGGAAAACTGAGGAGTTGTTGATTCGCTTCGTTTTGCATTATATGGTGAACGTGAACTGAGTTATCATTCGTCTAATAAAGTGAACACTTCATCTTTCAGCACAGAAATGTAGTTGTTTTACAAAGTACCAAACCAATTAACTGTTTTATTGATGATATTTCAATCACAATAACGAGTTATGGGCTAGTTCTTGTTTTTCATAATCTCCTTTTGTATCCAGATTATCACCGGCCAGTCCAAACACTACTGCTTTAGATATGATGTAAATGAGCTTATAGAGTACAATGGCGTGTGATCAGTGTGGTGAAAAATTTCCTGACATTTCTTGTGAGGACAAACGGAGGAGCCTCGACACAATGCCATTATCTTACCACAGGTTACACAGGGGTTTAATACTAGATTACAAAGTAGCAACTGGTGGTTTTGATACTTATGTATTATATTTTCATCCCATCTGCGACTGATTATCTGGGAAAAAGTTGTCAGAAAGTTCGAAAATCACGATCAAATGACCTACGTCTAGAGTTTAGTTTATCATGAGGAGTATTTGGTTACTGGATTCCTTTAATAGTAAACATATAGTCAACATCTCTTTCAGCAGGCTGAAAAGTAAAAAGTTCACCTATCCTTATATCCTTATCTCTGAATGATGTGTAGAATTATGGTCGATTA